ATATATATATATATATATATATATATATATATATATATATATATATATTAAAAAATAAAAGTTTGTTAGTTGCGTATCCTTTACAGGACTTTGCAGAACGAAGTCCACCAATTTTAGACTTTTGTAGATTTTTTAGGCAAATTTATATCGAGTAGTTTGTCAGTGAAACACAGTAATGCCTAGTAATACACATGTCTTCTTAATGAATGCCGCTGCTCTTTCACATGCGTTAACCCCCATTGCTGCCATAGATAGCCGATGATTAAAATCTGTTAAATCACACAGCATTTGATGCGTGAGAAGACAAGGCACTTTGGCCGTTACCCGTTCAATTTCTATCTCACAGGAAGCGGAGATGAACGACGCATATTTATTTCAATTAGCAATGCCCTACATCTGCTGGACAAATGTCTTATTAAACACAGGAGATCCACGTGTTGGTTCGGGGTCCCAATTTGTGGGATAAAACAATAGACCCACTGTCCTGTGACGAGAATGTTTAAAAGTCAACTATTTAGGGGTGCTTTCAACAACGTCGGAGTTTATATGCCTGAGAGGCGAGGAACCAATAGTCTGCATAAAAAAAGTCCCATCTGTAAAGCGGATATTCACACAATACTGAAAATCTGGAATGAGACCAGAGTCCATTGGTGGGTGAACAACCAGAATTTTCCGCCGGAGTTTACAGTCAGTGAAGGGGAAGATGACTGACACAAGAGAGCCTTAAAACAATTTTTGTAAGATTCGTAAATTTCTGTCTTTATTTAGCTCCTGGAATCTGGGCAGTGAGCTTCATTATGGTAGAGAAGAATTGCAAAGTTTTCCTGGGGGGTGGGGGGGGGGGGGGTCAAGTCAACAGTGCAGCAAAACAGGAAAAAACAAAACAATCATCCTCCTTGATAATGATTCAGTTGGGAGTAAACAGACGGTCCGAATGACTTTCCGCCCGTTAACCCCCCTCCCCTTCCCCCGCTCCATTTTTTGACCCCACTTCCCCCTTCCCTAAAAAAAGGTCGCTGCTCTTTCACACTCGGCAACTCCCATTGCTGGCATGGATAGCCCATGAGTCAGAGTCTTTGAATCCGGGGATTTGTGGCCACATGGCAGGTGCTGCTGCCACAGGCTGTCTGGATTATAAGGTTATCACTGTAATTGTTACCACCTACAGTGATGAGAAAAAAAAATGTCCACGTTCTTACTGTGGATTCAAAGCTGTGTCACCAACATGGAAGCCCTGCGTTCCTTACTGTTCGGCCACCTGCTGCTTGGTACGTTGTTACACACAAATAATGCAGCACATAATGATGACACACAATTATCTTGTCACATAGAAATGTTCTAAAAATGGCATCTTGCATAATTCATTAATATTCTGCTGTGGACCGTGATTTTGTTTACTGTCGTGTTACTATATCGAACCTCTTTCTGACACCCTCCAAACAGTCCTTATTGTTAATAAAGGCGCACCTACAGTTCTTTCAGTTTACACAATTATAAAGTCATAACGCTACGTTGTCCCATAGCACCACTCCTAAGTTTAGTAGGATTTTGTTTAGTCCTACAACATAATTGTGATGCAGTAGTATTCGACACTATTTATACATTTAGCAACATTAAAACGCATGGTGTGGCCGATTTCTTCCACCATTTCTTTTTTTTTTTTTTTTTTTAATTTGAAATAGCCATGTCCTACATGACATTTATACACTTGATGTGAGATCAAAACTAGGTGTAAAAATCAATACGGGAAAGACTAAAATAATGAGATGAAACCAGGCAAATAGTAATCTTGTTTCTCCTAATGGTATCCAACTCCAAGATGTAGAGTCATACACCGATTTAGGCAGTAATGCAGGTGAAGATGGAGGAACTGATAGAGATACTAAAATATAAATACAAAAGGCAAGAGGAGTTTCCATAGCTCTATGAAACTTGTGGAAGTCACAAGTAATTAAAACTAATACTAAACTAAAAATCTATAATTCTGATATCAAATCAGCACCGCTTTATGGGGCGGACAGATGAAGAACATCTCAAACAATTACTAGTTAACTATAAACATTCATTACCTGGCGCCTGCGCAGAGTAGAGGAAATTAAATAGAATCTCTAATGTTGAGCACTGGGAGAGAGCTAAACAAGTTCCAGTGCACCGAGTGGTGAAGAAAAGACGCTGGCTTTGGATATGACACATGCTGAGAAACTCTGAGAAGAATATAACTAGTATGTCTGCGCACTGAAACCCCCTGGGTATAGAAATAAATGCAGACAAAAAATGCACACAGAAAAAGGAGCTAGTAACGAAGATAAAAAAAGGGGTGGGGTGGGAAGGACATGGGGTTAGCGGCATGTAATAGCGAAGGACAGAACACCTTAGTGTGAACTGGTTGATAAATTATGCTCCATTGAGTGATAGAAATCAGAAGACGTAGTATTCTACATCGTTGGTAAAGCACAGTGAGAGATCTGATGTGTTATGTGCTATTTTCAGTATTCTTCAGTATAACTTGCGATAGGGTCAGTATTCTACATCATAAATATGACATTGTCATTGTTTTACAACAAGAAATGTCATGGGATCAGTCTCCTGGAGTATAGATGTCTTTTGGTCATTATCTGACCACCCAAATGCCATGTAACAAATTGTCCTGTAGCATAAATCTGATGTGGATATAATTGATAAAACACATGTACCTATTTTGTATGTTCAGATAAATTACTAGTACCCATTGTTTTATATCCAATGGTGTGAGGACCTACTTAATTACACATTGTGTCATATAGTCTAGTACTGCCTCTCTCACACAGATACTGACCGCTTGCCGAGAGCGCCATGCAGAGTAAGAACTCCGTAGCTCAATAGACGCCCCAATGATATCTGCTAAATTACTCAGCTAAAAAAAAGTACCTTCATAGAATAAGGAAATATTATGGGATATAAAGACAACATAAGTCAATAATTCACACCACGCACCGAGAGTTAATGATGTTTACACCCAGTATGCAGAAAAGGCGAGAAAACTGCTTCTTCATCAAATTTACTTTTTTGAGTATGTCTTTAGTTGTACTTCTGTTCTTTTTCATAACTTTAGCTCCCAAAAAAAGCATAGACTGTCCGCGAACTCACGCAGTTGTCCAAACTTTGACATCCCGCCTAGTTCACTCCATGTCATCCACATCCTAAACCTCTTTTACGTGAGTGTCTGTGTGTGTGCGACTTAAGTGGGTTTCAATGCAAGGAGCTTTTCATTTTCATCTTGGTAAAAATTCTTCAGGAGAATCGTTGACTGTGACAGGACGAAACAAGGCAGTGAGTACGCTTTGCTGCTTTTTACAAGTGGCGACATCTGTTCTGGATTGCCCGCGTGAGGCATTAGGGTAAAGATTCAAATGTATGCTCTTTACACGTAATCAATCCAATTTTTCCGTAGTATAAGAAATTTAAATCTCGTATTCTTGGCTTGGAAACAACGACATTATTGTTCCCGAATGACCTTAGAGTTATGATTTTGTCATTTCTCTTTGGATTACATATATATTTTTGCAGCTTGTTTTTTATAATTAACATTTGTTCACACTGTCTTCACCTTTCTCAGCATGCTTTCAGAGTCTGTTGAGAAATGTGAAAACAGGATGAACAAATTTTATTTGTTTAGTAAACTCTTTCTGTACCAAGGGACTCAGTGTACGTTAATCGGTTTCTTCAGACACAGCAAGCACAGACATTCTTCTGTCACAGATATAGACACTCACTTGACAAACCATTAACTTTAAAGACAAAGGTACTTGTTCTACGTTGAGACGGGGGACAGTTACTGTTTTTTTCCCTTCTTTAAACTGCTAACCCTTCACTCTTCATCAAGGGCGTTCTCTCACAGCTCTATCCTGGCCGAGCTGGGATTGGTAACTATCAGCACATTCTTCAGGACTGCACCTTTTGTAAAGTAAAGTAAAAGTAAGGGACCCTTTTCCACGCCTCTAGGCGTATAGGGCATATAGGGCTAGACCTATATTTTTATAAACCAATTGGCACAAGATGGGTGATGTGGTCAGCATCATGTCTGCCGCCTTTATTTCCCGGGACTGCACCCTGTACTCATTCAAGGCTGGGTCGACCTAGGAGCCAAGGTCATTTTTGAAAATAGTCCGGCTCCGCCAGGGAGCGAATCCACGACCTTCGGATCCGCGGCGAGCATCTAGCCGCTTCCCTGCACCATTTGAGCTGCCAGAATTGTCCAGACTGTGATGGGAAGCTCCTGGAGGTGGGATATTGAATTACCTTGGACAAGATAAAGGGCTTGACCCAGGCAGCAAGATAAACAACATGCTTCACGACAGGAAAGCCAAAACAGTCACAGTTAAAGCGTATTTGAACCAATTATCACTTAGCTGGCAGACTGTGCCACTACGGCTGTCGATTTATGGAGTTAAAAAAATACATATTCCCCACTCCATTGGCATAACGGTTTTATGTTCCTAAACCTATTAATTTTTTTAGACTGGTGGACACTCGATGATTAATGTGGTAGACATCACACCAGCCACTTTTTTTTTTGTCCAAGCTATTACAGCCGCTCATGTGAAGCTGGGTTAACTTGGGAGCCAAGGTTACCACATACACACACACGCACGTACGGACACACGCACACACACACACACACACACACGCACGCAAACACGCACACACACACTCACGACTGAACCTGAACAGTAGTATCGTCAGCCTCCCACTCCCCTTTTCCCCTACCCCAAATTCCTACACGAAAGATATATAAAACAAATCGAAGACACCGTTTTGACCTAAGATACATACAAAAATGACTTGAATAAAAGCTTATAAAACCAGTTATCTACAGTCCGATTTATTGTAAGGTAACAACAACAACAACAACAACAACAAAAATTATTGTCTGCGTGCATTGATTTATTGAAAAACCTGCAAATGTAACGATTTTTATTTTTTTTATTTTTGGGTTTGGTTTAACCACAACAACAGGTCATTTAATACTCTTCATAAACTGTAGGCACTTTATCGCCAGTGAGAACATGTCGCTCAACTCCATCTTTGGTGGATATAGATGCCAGACGGATAATACCACCGCTAGATCTATCGCGGTTCACGGCCAGGGAGACGGAGTTGGCCACAAACTGTAGACTTTGCTCCTTTGTCATTGCAGGCTTGAAATTGGCATCCACATATCCATAGAGATAGGAACTGCATGATCCTCCAATGATAAATGGCATCCTCTGGAGCATGCCACTGATGGGAACTGAAAACACCCGTCCCCATCTTTACTATGGCAGCCAGCAACAATGATGCCTGCAGTGATCTGATCCCTGTAGTCGTAGCACAACTGCTTGAAGATGTTGGCAACTGTCTTCACCAGCGGCTCCTTGCCCATCTCCATTCTGTGAAAGTCAATTTGGTATTTTACTAGATCGGCAACAGCTTGTGTGTCTGCAGCAGACCCAGAACGGCAGCAGTAGATGTAGTCTGTGATCCCGGTCAATTTGTGTGTCACTCGATTGGCGATATAGCTTGTTGTTGTTGTTGTCCTAGAGTCTGCACCAACTACCACAACCCGATCATACTGGGTGGCCATGATTGTTGTTCCGGTGGACACTTCATTATTCATCCATTCCACCCCAAATCCGAGCATTTCAGGTCCCAACATCCCTGACTGAAAAGCGTTTGTCATCATGGAAACCATTTTGTTGTCTTTTTGCTCCTGACCATGACATTCTTTACAATCAGGAAGCTTCATTTTGCAGTCTATAGCTGCCTGTGGATCTCTTTAGCACAATAAACACGAATAAAGGCAAATTGCCAGGTTTGCTTCCCGTGAAAGTGTTCAAAATATACTGATGAGTATACCGTCTACTGTGTAAAACATTAGAGATATTATCTGGTATTCGTACTGTGGGGTTGGGGAGGGGAAAAGGGGGGGGGGGAGGGAAGGGAGGGATAGGGGATTGGAGGTAACATAAATTGTTCACAAAAGGCTACCAGATGCCCGGAGATTGCATCCGTCATTCTGACGGCGCCAACATTTTGTTGCAGAAAACAAACGCCTTTCGCGGATCAGGCAATGAAAGGGACATCATCTCTAGACTTGTACAGAAGCCGCTACCAGGAGCTGTTTAGTCAACTTCAGCCGTAACTCTGAGATGTCGGGTTCGATCCCAGCTGCGGGAGTCTAGCAGCAGACCGCCTTGGATTCGTCTGGAAAGTGGCAATGGCAAACTATTGAACCTAAAGTTGCCTAGTTCAATCACAAACAATGTTTAAAAAAATGGTTCTGCAAAGTCCTGTAAAGGATACGCAACTACGTTAAAACTTAGGACATAACAGAAATGCGAGCACTACCGACTAGTAAGAATTGTCGAAAAGCGGAACGCAGACCATATATAATTCATAGATACAGATTGCCACTACTAAATATAAATAATTTTGGATTGAAAATGAAAGCATTTCAAGTCTTTTAAATAACGACATGATTTACTGGTCTGGCCTGGAGCCCCAGATCAGCTGTATATCTTCTCCAAAGATAAATCGAACTCAAGAACATTGGACGGACAGGCAGTCTCTAAAACTGCAATATCACCCTTGATAACAACGCCAAAACATCAGCTGAGACAAGAAATGAGCAGACTGTCGAAGAAACGAGACGTATTAAGTCATTAAACCAGATACGCAGGAGGAACTAGCAGACTTAGATAAAAACAATATAGCGAATGATATTATCAACGAAGGGTGGTTAGACACTGTCTGATACATCTGCTGAAGCCAGGCAAAGACCACGCACAAATTCAGGGGTATCGGGTAATCACCAGGCAGGATACTGTAGGTAAGCTGTTGGAAAAAATAATCGCCCGGAAAAAAATGGCATGCAAGTCAGTTTGGGAGGCGATGTCTTCTTCCACGTACCCTTGGAGGGCACCCCCCCCCCCCCCTCGCAAACAGAGAAACCTGGATCAATACAGAAGTTTTGTTGCCAAAGATGTGTATAAAGGTTTATCTGCAGGCATTGAAACAACTGATCCTGAAGACGAGTACAACAGAGTATCGATGAATTTCTTAATGTTTCAGCTTTTTGAAGTCAAAATAAGTCGATTCTTTCTCAAATGGATCTCTGCAGCCATCTTCCAACCAAACGTAGTTTTTATATACGGCAGCTGGTCTTCTGAACCTACAACTATTCACCCCGATATGAAACATGGATCAATTTAATCTATCGTGCTGTTTATCGTTTACACAGTGAACAGGCTTAAGATTGACAACTGCAAACAGAGCTCAACCACATAAGAAATTCGTGTGGTGATGCATAGGTCAATCCAGCAATGGCAACAGTGACTTTGTTCTCTTGAATTATCGTATTGTCAACAACCCGCCGTGACTGGAGTTCTATGCTTAGAGAATGTGCAAATAACGCAGTCAGTTAAATACCCGTGGGTACGATTTGATCTTAGCCTGGTTCAGGGACCAGGTGATAATAAAAGCCAAACGTGCTTGGTTGTGATGAAAGTCGTGGTTGCTGCAAACTGTGAGCATAGTCATTTGTCTTTGAGACCAGGGTCTGATCCTTTCTGTCCTTGAGTATGCAATAGCGATCATGACTCTCAGCCATAATCAGTTGGAGAGGATAGAAAGAGTACAAAACGAGGATATGCGTATTACACATGGGCGTAGAAAATATACTTTAATTAGGGCGATGCGCTGCCTTTTTGATTTTATAACCATGGAGGAAACAATTCAAATTTACCTCACAGTCAACGCAGACATAGGAAACCCGATGCATAATAAAGAAAAAGGCAGGAGACTTAAAAAAAATTAAATCGAGGTAATGTTTGACCGAGGACAATATTCAGCAGGCGTGTTTACTTGCAAACATACAACCTGGTGAGGAATGGGTACAAGTACCAACAGAGTGTTGTGTGACCTTTTCTATTTGCCTGCTACTAGACAGAAAATGCAGAAAGTCAAGGAGGCAGAAGGGCACGTTCTGATTTTCGAGAAATCTCTAGAATGAGTAGCTGTCATTTTGCGGCTCAGGCTGGAGTTAGAATTGTGACGCAAGATTCTGGCACTTTGGCCTTCACTTAAATTAAGCTCTGTACGGAGGTCATGACAGTGACCAGAGCAGTAGTATGGCTAAGGACTCAGATTTTTACCCGCGCATGTTGTCTCTTTGACTCGATGGGTATTTATAGGATAGTAGAAGTGGGCTGGGTCCGAAGACAGTGACTGGAGTCTCTAGGGTGGTCGAGGTTGATGCATATCAGTGTCATATTCGAGCCAGGGCATGCAAGCGGACAAGGAAATGAGCAAGCTGATAGGCTTGCAGGTAAAGCTACCTTCACGAAAGCATGTGCCATGGACCATGTTGATGTACTAAAGACTCTACGGGAACTGAGACGTTTGGGAGAACCAGGTGATAAGTGTGAATCTGCAGCCATGACCAGACCGCAATAACAGCATGTTAAAAGGGGTGTGGCTAGACAAGAGCAATATGCAGGAAGCAAAGAAGAACAAGAAACCAGCAGAAGCGTAATGTCATCAGCCGCTACAGCTGCGGGATTGACTAAGAAGGTGATCCGAGCACTTATGGACTGAATGGCTCGATGTGCAATGAGGATAATCTGTAGATGAACTGATTAACAAAACACGCAGGTTTGGATCGGAAAATGTTTGGGTGGAAGTTCGGGAAATCGAAGCTTCTTTAAATGAAAAATTGTCCGTCTGTCTGATTGTACGCTCTTCTTTCTATCCTTCCATATGTCTTTCTGCCGTCTTGCGTCCCTTCGTACGCCCGTCTATTTCTGTCTGTCCGTTTAGACCCTTCTGTGCCGTTAGGTAAAAGTTAGATCACATATGAGACCTCCAGTTGAACGGCAAGACAACATGACAAGCCCCAAATAATGCAAGTGTTCCTTAACCGGTGTTTCCCGGAGCCCTAAGAGGCGGCCAGCGACTCCACGGCTGTTCCAGACATGTATGGCCAAGTTGGGACAATATTATGTCTATTGGTAGTCAGGAAATCATTGATTATACTATCTGCGTAGGCAGTCGTGTTTCGTCATCTCAAACGATCACCAGAATCACGGATCAGGTCATTGTTTTCATTCTCCCTCATCCATCTGGCAAAGCCATCCAAGTATTTATCACTTTGTCTTCCTCTTACCCTCTTTACATCATGTCTTCCTCTTACTTTCTTTACATCAATCTTGATAGTTGTACGAAATTCTCGATCCCATCGCATTTCATACTATGGGGGTTGACAGGGGGGGGGGGGGGGATTGAATATTGACCTTCTACGTGAAATTGTTATAATAGGTTTACATCTTCCATCCGTCTCGACGATGGCTGCTTCATTTGTTTCTCTATTCCCTCATGATAGTGTTTATATTCTTCTCAAAAACCATACCTCTGTGGCGTGTAAATGTTTTTCAGCATGTCTACTTATTGTTCATGTCTCACATGTAAACAACAAAAGAGGTTCTACAGAACACCTTGCCCTTCTGTTTTTCTCTCGCTGCATGTGACCCCTTATTGGTAAGCATTTTTTGCATTTTGCTAAAAACCATTTTTGCGACAGATTCTTGTTCTAGTTTCAGAAAACGAACATACCGCTAAGAAATCACAAAATATATTCAACTGCGTAGGGAATAACCCCAAATAACGGTAATTCCCGTTAAACCATGCAATGACAATATAGCCATAGACTAGCTCAATGAAATATATCGCCAAAAATTCGCATTCCATGTGAATGTGTAAGCTGACATTATCACCACTTGATGACAACCCACAGTTCATTTCGGCATTAAACTCAGGAAGCGAAAGCCGTGTCTCCAATGCTTTTCTTATCTGATGGGGGACGCACAAAAAAGTCAGCCCAAAAATGAAAACAGGAAAGCGACAATCTGATGGATATCCCCGGAGAGAAAAGGGATTGCGAAATTCGAAGGGACAACATGAAAAACTGTGATTACTAAAACATAAAAAAGGGACAAGATTAATGCTGTTATTGATGATGTCAAAATGAGACATGTATCAGTGTCAGGGGGATGAGAGATATATTTGGAAATATCGGGACTTAACGCGAGATTTGAGTTAGAACTAAAAATGCGACGAAACGTTTAGCAGGGTGGTTAAAGAACTATTCTTGATGTCATGTATGCAGAGTTACTGCATTGCAGCGTGAATAAACATTGACAACTGGGTCGCTTGTTGGCTGGTCAGTAGACCACTTCGTCGCCAGTCGAGACAGTGTTTAGGTTTGTCCCCTTTGATTGATTCAACGCTGCAAGACTCCTTTTCAGGGCTTCTGTGTAGCGAGCAATGCTTCGCCGTTTTATATAGCGCATATAAGCTAGTCACAATTATAACCTAAAGCTCCTCCTTTGCGGATGCTGATTGAATGCAACGATTGGGGGGGGGGGGTGGAAAGGGTGGGTGGGGGGCAAAGCAAACAAGCAGCTTGCATTAAGAAGTAATGAAACCCGTCTTTTTATTACTGTACGCAGTACCAACACCCTGTTTGTTTAGAAAGACTTATGGAACAACGGACAAAGTCAACATTTTGAATAGCTGACAAAATCAACATTTGCAACAACCTACAAAGTCAACATTTGCTACAACCGACAAAGTCAACATTTGGAACAACTGACAAAGTCA